TGATCTGCCTGCCTTGGCCCCCCAAAGTGCTGGGATTACAGGTGTGAGCCATTGCACCCGCCCCCTTACAGTGTTTTAGTCTAGTGAAGGAACAAACCTTCAACAAATGTCTTATTACAAATTATAATAAGTGTCAAAGAGAAGAGAGCAAGGTACTTTATGAAAAGACAACAGGTTTGAGAGATGGTAGGGAAGTAGGATAGATGGAACTTCATTTGTGTTACTTGAAGAGTAGAGACATTCTAAGGATAAAAGTGTCGTTTGACAAATGGATAGGCATAGGAACTTACGCAAGAGAATGGTAATCCTAAGTCAGAAATTCACTTGATTTGATTTTTTGGAAGTAAATTTCATGCTTTTCCGTTAAGTTAACTCTTGATTCCTTATAGTTGTGTGACATTTCTTAAAGGGTTTAGTGTTTTTTTGTTTTGTTTTCACTTTTTTTTTTTTAGGCTTTGTTTTGATTAATTAGGGTAATTGGAACAATAAAAACTCATGCCAGCGTTATGTTATAAAGATGGTTCTGGGAATAAAAATCTAGTAGTGAAGACCCTGGACTCTAGGGTGAGGTGACATATTTCAAATCAGTGCTTTTCTACTTTCTGGTTAAGTGATTTTGGGCAAATTTCTAACCTCTAAATTTAGGTTTCCTCATCTGTATAGTGAAGATAATCAAACTACTATCTAGTGTCATTAGGATTAAATAAAATAATTTGTGTTAAAGTAGATAGTATGTGATAGTAGTGAAGATTAGCTAAGTTACTGCTTGTAGAAGGCTTAGAAGAATGCTTGGCAAATAGGAAACTCTTAATAAATATTAACTATTTACTGTTATTCAGTTAATGTAGGTTGTTACCATTATAAGGCATGGTTCTCTCTCGAATTAGGTTTTCCTTCTTTTTCTGTAGAGTGTTTTCATTAAAGCCAGTTCTGCCAGTCTTACATTGAATCTGTGTTTTGAGAATTAGAAAATGAAAGCTTGTATGTTTTTCTTAACTGGTTATAAAATGTACATGAATGAGAAAAATTAATTTGCCTTGACTTCCTGAAGAGAATGAAAACATTAATTTGTGTCAAACTCTTACTCAGCTTTTGATGATGTTTAGTTTATTAACCATTTTCTTTTTCTTTTTCTGTTTCTATTTCATTTTTAACCACTAGGAACATGTTTGACAAGCTGAACCGTGATGCCTTTCATATAGTTTCTTATTTTTTGTTTCAAGTTCTGGACCAGTCTCTCACCAAAGAAGTTTTCAAGTAAGGAAAAATAATTTCATTTTCTTAAGTTTCTTTCCAAATTTGAAAATGGACTGTATTTTGATATAAGCCAGAATTTCTTTTTTCTTTTTTTTTTTTTTTTTTTGAGATGGAGTCTCACTCCATCACCCAGGCTGGAGTGCAGTGACGCAAACTAACCTCACTGCAACTTCCGCCTCCCAGGTTCAAGAAATTCTCCTGTCTCAGCCTCCCGAGTAGCCGGGATTACAGGTGCCTACCACCATGCCTGGCTAATTTTTGCATTTTTATTTGAGATGGAGTTTCACCTTGTTGGTCAGGCTGGTTTCAAACTGCTGACCTCAGGTGAACCACCCGCCTCGGCGTCCCAAAGTGCTGGGATTACAGGTGTGAGCCACCACACCCAGCATAAGCCAGAATTTCAACTTGGCCTTTGACTGATGTTTTGAATGAATATTACAAAATTCAGGTTTGAGTCTTATACATTTAATTCTTAATCTTTATAAATCTGGGTGACGTTTTTCTTTGGTACATATCTTAAAATCATTGTGTATTTTATAGGTAATATAGTTTTTATTTTATATAATTCTTAACATTTTCTTTATGGTCTTAATAATTAAGCAAATTATTGTTAGCAGCACAATTAACTGATATCAATCTGTATGAACTTGATTTTGCCCTGTTTTTTTTTTTTTTTTGCTTAGTACTGTATGCCTTACTACTTTTCCTATAGGCAGTGTTGTTTTGTCTACATGGTTCTCTGTAAATCCTTACTTTTTTCAGTGATATATTAAAGCATCACTTGCTGTAGGGAAAAATCATTCCTATTACATTTACTCTTTTGTTGTATGCTGTTGTTTAAGAAGGAGATAAAAATGTAAACACCCACTAGTCTCAGTTCTAAGTTATTTTGCATGTGATTTGTGTTTCTGCTATCTAAAAAAGTGTTCAAATTTCTTTTGATATTTATGTTGTGCCTTCAATCTTTTATATAGGAAAGCAACAAGTAGATCTATTGCTTAGGGCATTATTTTCATTTTTGATAATCTATTTTGAATATTTTGCTTTTATTTAAAGTTCTGAGTGTGCAGGAGAATAGGTGTGTTTGGATCATTTTTTGGAATTCCCTATTATTAAGGTATAGAGCAGCTTCTTCTGTCCAAACAAAAATAGATTTTTACTTTTTTTTTTTGCTGATTATCAACATTACGGCTCATTTTAAGTAATTCAGAAAATATAGGAAAATGTAAAAATTGTTTTGAAACCCGTCAACCACTGAGTATCACTGTTGACATTCTAGCCTTTTAGTCTTTTTATTCCCTGTGCATGCTCAGTTTTTTCTGCAAATACTGAATGTAGTTATAGAAAAAGTGAGGCCTTAAATAATTATGCCTCAGAATAAAAATTTGGAAAAACCTGACTGAAAGGAAAGCAGTAGGTAAATTTTAAACCCTAATATTCTTGACCAAAGTTGAAGCAAAATTTTTTTTTTTCATGTTTTTCTGTCTTGTTTAGCCACAAAGCAAGAGCACCCACAGTATGATAAGGATTATCTCTAGGAGTCATGCTCTTGTATGCCATTTTTTGTCCTCTTCATATATATCTGTTTATGTTTCTGTCCCGCAAGATTACTATTTCTTTTCAGGCTTAATTTACTAGTTTATTTATTTATCTTTATGCACTAGTCCAGTGGATCCGTTGAGATTGTTGTCTTTAGCTGATTTTCAGCAATTTTTATAGCTGTTCATTCCCTCATTTAATACATTTTAGTTGTTTGTATGAAACAGAACTCAATCCTTTAGATGTTTATAAATTAAAAAATTCAATTTCTTACAGGTTGGTGTCTCTCTATCTGTTATTTAAGAATGTTAACTTTAATTCATTTCACTTTAATTTTTTTTTTTTTCTTTTGAGACAGGGTCACCCAGGCTGCAGTGCAGTGATGCCATCTTGGCTCACTGCAGACTCCACCTCCTGGGTTCAAGCAGTACTCATGCCTCAGCCTCCTGAGTAGCTGGGGCTATAGGCGCACACCACTATGCCTAGCTAATTTTTTTATTTTTAGTTGAGACGGGATTTCTCCATGTTGGCCAGGCTGGTCTCGAGCTCCTGGCCTCAAGCGATCTGTCTGCATTGGCTTTCCAAAGTGCCGGGGTTACAAGTGTGAGCCACCACGCCCAGCCATGTGTTAATATTTCTGGTAGTAGAAATAAGTTTTTTTTTTTTTTTTTTTGAGA